GAAATCTCCTGTAGTTACTGAATTTGCTCATGTCTGCTATCATCTGAGAGAAGATTTTGCTGTTTTTTTACTTGTTACTTTGTTGTTGATTATGTACTTTATGTTACTTTGTTGTTGTTATATGTACGTGGGCATGTACATATAATTGAGGTGCCCAGGAGGTCAGAGAGGCCTTGAGTCTTCTGACCAGGAGCACACGATCAATCCAAAGTGCATTCCAAAACCACGTAACAGTTTGTTAAAAGATATTTACTATATTGGCTTCTTAGCTTCATACTATATTGTTTATCTATTTATTTACATTCACAATTTTGAAGGTTTCCAATTTTATAACATTTGTTTTTGCTGAAGAATTAATATTCTATATTCTAGTATAAAACTTTAGAATATAGAATTTAACCAAACTACTTCCCCACTCCCTGGTTTCTCCTTCTTTTCTGGTGTGTGTGTGTGTGTGTGTGTGTGTGTGTGTGTGTATGTGTATTGTGTATGTGTGTGTGTATATATGTAGATATATGTGTGTATGTACATGTGTATGTGTGTATGTATGTATATATGTAGATGTATGTGTATGCGTGTATGTATACATTTGTATGTGTATGTGTGTGTATGTGTGTATGTATGTGTGTACATATGTAAATGTATGTGTGTGTGTATGTGTGTGTGTGTATGAGTGTGTGTGTGTTGAGACAAGATCTCACTAAATACCTAAGGGTGACCTTGAACTTGTGGATAAAACTTCTGTTTCAGACTCCAAACTACTTGAAATACAGACACACACCATCAAAACTGGGTTCTTTCTTTAAAAATTATTATAGGTTAATCAAAATTAGCCATGCATATGATGGTGAAAATCAAATAATTCTATGAATTTTATCATGAAAACATGGCCTTTTCCTGCTTGCAAATGTCCCAAAGCTTTTACTCCGTTCTCTAGAGGAAGCCACATCCATATCTTTCATTTTTCTTTGCAGTTCTGAATTACATACTTATGTACCTTTTTTGTTGTTTTCAGATATTGCCTATTGATTTTTCTAATACAGAAAATGAAAACTTAACTCTCAGGGATTTTCTGCTTACCCCAAAATATAATCATATCATAATTCTTGTTCAAATCCATTACCAAATTTATTATTAATATACTCATACTGAGCCATGAACAGTAATATTATGATTTTCTTTTCTGTATCCATCCCAGTGTGAGTGTTTCAACTACTACTCTAGTGTATGAGAAATTCATTTCTCTAAATCTCACCAACACTTCAAATTGTCCTAGTGGTTTTGCCTTTGTCAATCAAGTCAGCACAAAGCATATCATGAAATTTGATTCAGGCATAGCTGAAATGAGCAGAGATCTATGTTGCCTGGGGGTAGGAGTATCCCCCAGTTAAGAACTTTTCACAAGCCCATATTATTTATTTAGCTTTTCATCAGGCTGTCTTATCTCTTTTAGTGAGTAGATGCATTGGTTGAAGGAGAAAGTGAGATGTTTCAGGAGGGAGAATGTGTTCCTGATTATGCCTGGTTTGTCCTGAAGTTCATCCCATGGCTGAGCCTCCAAAGTGCGATACGTTAGACCCAGGAAGAATCACTATGAGATTAGCTCAAAGTGTCGACGCAAGCCAAGCATAGCACATCTTCTGTGTTACATTTCATATTTTACACACACATACACATCTTAGTCATTGGTGGTTCAGTGGTTCAAGTCTAGAAAATCTGGAGTTCATGAAAACCTTAGAATTTAGCTAAATAATTAACTAAGAATAGTAGGTAGTAGCTCTCCACAAATACTTGAAAGCAAGATTTGCCTCAGGTAAACATCACAAAGCAGATGACTTTCCAGAAGAGTACAGGTGTGCTAATCAAATGATACCCTAGGATTAATACAGTAAACCATGTATTGTCCTAATTATCACAATTTTCTGTTGTTTGTCTTTGAATTCCACGAACACTTACTGCACAAACACAAAAGAGTAATTGCTTAGTACAGCTTAGCTCTCTGAGGCAGGAGGCAAGTGATTAAATATCTACCCATAGTTCTACCCAACAATAGTCTCTGTAGCAATTAATATCTCTGAATTCCATATCTTAGTCCATTTGGTACTTTAATAGAACTTGGGTCTGTGTAATTTACAATGAAAAGAAGTTATCTCTTACATTTTTGGAGGCTAAGATGTCCAGGATGAAGTCTAGTATCTGGTAAGGGTCTGGAATATACTTTCGAGATGTCTGCTTTAATACCAAGTCCTTTGGAGGGAGGGATGATTGCTGTCCTCCAGCAGCAGATGGTCCTCTAATCACCTATTAAAGGCTGTTGCTCTGAACATTGTTACAATGGCAATTCAATTCAATGTGAGTTTGAAAGGTACAAACATGCAGACATAGAACATATGTAGCATGTTAGACCCATCACATACAGTGACAACTCTGTGTATCTCAGGGAAGAAGTATGTCATAGACAATATGGACCAGGAAAATGACCACCAGCCAAAAAACACAGTTAAAATCAGCAATTTTCTTTGCATTGTATACCATGCACCTTGATTCAAAGATATTAATGAGTCCTAATAATGCTAATGGTATTTCTTTCCAGATTTATTAAATATGTTTTAGTTAAACTATGGACGAATTACTCCATCAATCTTAAAATAGTCCTTCATTTGTTTCTTTGCTCCATGATGTCTACTCCACAACCACTTGCTGATATCTTCAACTATTCAACTATAAATGTCTCTTTGGGGGTCAGAAAGGGGAAAAAAATCCAAAACAAACAAACAAAACAGAGGCTACTAGACACAGATGACTTTTGAGGGAAGCTTGGTTACCCATAGCTTTATGACATGGTTGTACACTAAACTATTTGCTTAGTTAAATGTTAAAAGCATAAGTAAAATTTGCCTTTTTTAAAAAAAGATTTATTTGTTTATTATCTATACAATGTTCTACCTGTATGAATGTCTGCAGGCCAGAAGAGGGCACTGGATCTCATTCTAGATGGTTGTAAGCCACCATGTGGTTGCTCAAAATTGAACTCAGGACCTCTGGAAGAACAGCCAGTGCTCTTAAACACTGAGCCATCTCTCTAGCCCCAATTTGCCTTTTTTTAATCAGCTAAATTTCTCAACTAAAATCAAAGATACTTAAGTCTCATATTATCACAGCTGAAAAACTGCCTAATGTCAAGAAATTGTAATTTTGTAGTCTTGTGATTTTTCACCTAGCCTGGTATTTAGAAGTTTTCAGGTTTGACTCAAATATATTCCTGGCTTTCTTTTTATGCACAATTCAGTGATTCTTTAAGTAACTAGTGGCTTTGTCTTATTTTTGTGAAATCATTGTGATTTCCCTTTAAAATTATTTTTTTGTGATGTCTGTGTAGACAAAAATATCATCTTATCACATATGCATAATTTTCTGGGATACGGGAAAATTATGATGACATATTTTGGCTTGTTATTTTTTAGAAGCGAGGAGGTTTGTCTAAGCTAGAATATAAATGATGGAGTTTATGTCTAAAAAATGTCTAAATGTGTTTTTTAATGAGGCATTTCTGTATTTCCCATGGCAATTTGAGATAATCACTGTGTACAATCTTTTAAAACAATTTTCTACATTTATTTTTAATTAAACTTGAGTAGGCTGAAAAAGAAATCCCTCAATTTACCTTCATATGAACACTCTATTTAATTCAGCTCTACCACCCTTCCCCCATTACCCCTCTGGCCAAGCAATAGTTGAACAACATTCTCATTCATTTTTAAATATGGATGTGTGAGCATTTTGTATAGTGGCACAATTTGAGTTATAAATCTTTGCTTCTGGGATTGTTCTAGGTTATATTTTAAAGATTTTCCTGGAGTATAGGCTAGCATTGAAATTTTGTTTCTTCTTTTTGAATCAAATCTGTGAATATTCTATCTAAAGAAATCACATGGATTTTATTGAGGCACCCCAGTCACTATTGCATTTATTAATCAAATATATACATAATAAATATATAACTGTTGTTGAATGACCTTGATATTGCTCGCTATTTGTTTGTGAGATCCAAAATGAGAAGGGGAGGGCTACCTCTTCATTAGAGATAAGCAACCTCATCTGAAAATTCTTATGTAAATGAGATTATTAAGGGAGTAGGTTGTGATTAATCACTCTCAGTCATCACAACTTTTCAGGGAAGTGGAAGCAAACACTTACTTTAAAGGTACAGTAAATAGGAAAGGAACAATCTGATTCTTTTGCAGACAGTTTGAAGACAGCAAGTCTGAGAAGACATGTTGGTGATCCCTGTCTCTGGTCCCCATCCTTCTTGTCCTTGTCCCAGGGCACTTCTTCCTAGATCCTGTAAAGCATCCAGGAAGAAGCGTCAGGCAACAAGCTTGGGGCCCTCTAACCCAGCACTTAGCCAGTGGGCATCACTGGCTTCCCCCTTGCCTTGTTCAAGAAGGTAACATTTCACCCTTAACCCCATGGGCAATCGATGCTTAGTAAAACCCAACACAGAACTGATGTGAGCAAGCAAGAGTTGCTCTTTGTGCTCAGGACCGGTGAACCGAGATGATTAATCCGGGTTTCCTACAAAACAACAACAGGGACTCGATTTTGCACTCAGAGAGGTATTTTTTCTCCAAAGGGCTCTGGGTGAACCACTCCAAGGCAATGGCTCATAATTATTTCCTTATTATCATTCTTATCCAGAGCTGAATTGTGATCAAAGAGAAAGCAGGTTGCTGATGGATTTGTATAAACTGTCATCTGACAGACTCATGATATGAAATGCTATCTGGAATCTTAAAACAAATAACTGTAATTACCACTTAATTGTATTTTGACCGTAAATCACGTGCCCTCCGCACCCCCTCACCCCCGACATAACATAATGTTAACCTTAGGGCAAAACTGAGCCATCAAGAGCCTGAACCTGCAATGAGAATACTGCAGGGGGAAAGGAACTCAATTTAAAGCATGTTAACTTTTATTAGCCTGAGCCATTACTCTGATAATGCTTCCTTCTCACAAAGTGTCTGCAACTGTTCTAACATCTTAACAGAATAAAACTACAAAAGACTATCCATACTGTCACCCGATACAAACCTTAAATTCAAACACAGAGACCCAGAGGTGGCGACAAGAACCTCAAAGTAACATGTCTTACGAGGAAGAGAAATAGCATTGAGACAGAATTAATATTTAATATTTTTACAAATATTAAATGTAGAACTCCAAAGATTTAAATTTTTTTTTTCACCTATTAACTGATTTGTGGAAGAGCTGATTCATTTTCAGATTGTCCCTAACATTGTGGAATATTATTTTAAGATGTGTTACATTTGTTTATGCTGTGGAACATTCGTTTAATGATGTAAAGATGTGTTTCTTTGCCTGTACAAAACACCTGATGGTCTAATAAAGAGCTGTATGGCCAATAGTGAGGCAGGAGAAAGGATAGGCAGGGCTGGCAGAGAGAATAAAGATGAGAAAAAAAATCTGGGAGGAGAGATCAAGGAGTAAGAGAAGGAGAAGGACATCAGGGGCCAGCTACCCAGCTACCCAGCAAGCCATGGAGTAAGAAGTTAAAGAAAGGGATACAGAAAGGTAAAAACCTTCAGGCAAATATAGACAGGATAATTTTAAGTTAAGAAAAGCTGGCTAGAAATAAGCCAAGCTAAGGCCAGGCATTCATAAGTAATAATAAGACTCCATTTGTGATTTATTTGGGAGCTGAGTGGTCCCCAAAAGAGCCAAAACAGTAAAGAGTAAAAACTCAGTATCAGTCCAGACCACCGGAGTCTAGCCCATCCCCCCACTCTCCTGATTGCTCCCTTAGGTCTGCGGAAGTCCCTCCGTCAGCTGGAAGTCTGCCTTTTGACTCAGTGACCCAGTTGAAGAGGCTTTCCTATCCCAGATAGGCTGCCCCTGACTGCTGGGCACTTGAAGGTGGTGGTGGGTAGGACGGGCAGGCTTCTGCTTTGACTTGTTCCATTGACCTTGGAGGCCATTTTCAACAGAAGGGACATAGAGGTAGAATCAGAGTTAGGACTGCAAGACATCGGATGCTGGAGCAGAGTCCTCTTTCCATCAGACCAAAGGGAAGTGATAATCTCGTTACTTCACAGTCCTGTGCTCTTCTTCCTTCACCTGGATGACCCTGTATTTCAGAAAGAGGATTTAGAAGATATTAATTTTTCTCTTATTTTGGTTTCTCCAAAGTCAAAGCTAGAGAATTTTAGCAACAAAAATAAGTACTACCATATTACAATCCAAACTATACTACATATATTCATTAGTAATATAAATTATTTACTGGACATGTAAGTAAAGAGAAGTGACAAATATTCTATGCAGAACAATTCCAAATAATTTATATAAGCAAATCATCTCAAGAAAGTGGATCAGAATTCCATACTCATAAATGTGGAGTGTATAGTATGATAATGGAGGTAGATCAGTGAGGCTTAGCAAAGTTTAACAATTTTAAGTAGAGAAACGTGACAAAAATGGGTAAAATGTTATCAGTTCAGTAGCCAGACGTTCGTGACTCCTTTTTATAGCCCCATAATTCTATAACCTTTGGATATAGCAGTTGGATATCCCCAGCTCACAGGGGAAATTATGGTGATATTCTGAGGTGGCTTAAAGATCATTAAAATAAGTGCGGCGATTCTTGTTTCTAGCTGTGACAGAGTAACTGGTATAACCCAATACTCGCTGTTAGGGACTTTAACAATCTGCTCTATTAACTGATAAAGAAGCAGAGATAAAATGCACAAGGATCTAAACAACCTGAGCACTCTGAGCAGTTCCAGTTCTATGGACATTTGTGTAACACTCTACCCCAAAACAAAAGATGTACCTGATTTTTTCAGTGAAAAACTCATCAAACTAGATCATGTGCTAGACCATCAAATTATTCTTAACAAACAGAAAGAATTAAAATAATAAAGAGCGTGCTTTTTGACAAGAATGGAAATCAATTATATATCAGGAGCATCAACATTTTTAGAAAACTTCAACTATTTGGACATTGATTGCATGCTTCTAAATATAATATAAAATAAGATATAATTGGAATAAGTTGTTTGAGTGGAATAATAATGAAATCCTATCAAGATTTGTAAGACACAGCTCAAACAATTATATATATAATCTCATAAATATATATAATATTTAGATGTTTATATTTAGAAAAAAAAGAATGATGTAGAATTATATGAATTTCTACCTTAAGAAATAAGGAAAGAAATAGGAGACATAAATCAACCAGTAAAACAAGAAACATTACGCTAATAAAGTCTGCAATGGTGGGACTAAGGTTATATCCCAATTCATAGCTTGTTTGCCCAGTGTGTGTGAAGCTCTGGATTCCATGGTGGTGCAGGCTTGCGGTCTCAGCATTTAGGAGGATGAGAAATTCAAGATCATCTGTGGCTACACAGGGGGTTCTAAGTCAAACCTGAAACAAGACAGGGGGTTCTAAGTCAAACCTGAAACAAAACAGCAAAACTAAGAAACCAATCTCAAATTAGATAAAACAGAAACATTTTTCTAAAAACTTCAAATTACCAAAATTAACTATATCTACTAGACAACAAATTGTATTCATTTCACACCAAAAACATCTTCATATAAACCATTTGGTTAGTGAACTTGACAAAACCTTTTTCTAAGAAATAATACCCCTGTAACACAGTCTTAAAAAAACAAAAACAACAACAACAACAACAAAAAAACAGAATAAAGCTTACTTTCTAACTACTTTTAATGACTCTAGTATAACCATAATAGCAAACTTATCAAAAGCTTTATACGAAGTAATATAGACTATTAGGAATATTTGTAAACAAATAATCAACAAGTTGAATCCAGAAACATACAAAATCATAATACACCATTGTCTTAATGTTTCCATTGCCGTGAAGAGACACCATTATCACGGCAACTCTTATAAGGAAAACATTCAATTGGGGTGGCTCATTTACAGTTTCAGCGTCATGGCAGGGAGCACGGTGATGTGCAGGCAGACATGGTGCTTCAGTAGCAGCTGGGAGTCCTACGTCTTGCAGGCAACAGAAAGTCGACTAAGACACTGGGTGGTATCCGAGCATAGGAAACCTCAAAGCCACAGTGACACATTCCTGCAACAAGGCCACATCTCCTAATAGTGCCACTCCCTATGAGATTATGGGGGCCAATTACATTCAATCTACCACAACCATGGTTACAGGAGGTTATCCCAGAAGCCAATCATTGGCCTGAGATTTCAAAATCAAAACCGGGTCTGCTGCACAGCGCTGTTAACACCAGTTTGGGAGGCTGAAGAGAAAACAAATGCAAGCTCAAAGCCAGCCTGGGCAAGGGAAAGAGGTCAAGCCAGGACATGGGGAGAGCTGCAGTCTCAAAGCGAAAGTGAAAAGAGCATGGGGAAACAGCCGCCATGGTGGGTAAGCTGCGTGCCAGCTGTTTCGGGTACCGGCTTCAAGGTCGGTATCCGAAACAATAACCTCAGTAAAATGGTCAGTGTAATTGCTGGATTTACAAGATGAGAGTACTCCGATTATTTTCAGATGAAAAAAAAAGTTTGACAGAATTCAACATTTTCTGTTCTGTTTGTTTTGCTGTTTTGAGACAAGGGCTCTCCCTGCCTCAACCTTGTAATCCTCTTGTGTTAGCCCCGAGTGAGGGTTATAAGCCTGCACTGTCGCTTCTGGCCTTGGAATTCACTCCTGATTTTAAATAAAAAATCCAATCAGATCCAAGTAGTATTTTTTTAATTAAAGAAAATTGACTAGCCAATTTTAGGATGTATATGGAAATGCAAATATGCTAGAATAACCCAAACTTGAAAAAGATGAGAAAGATGAATTATACATCTAGCTTAATTTCAGACTTATTCCAAATCTGTAGTAATCAAGACAGTGGGTGGGCTAATACACTGGTGTAACAGAAGTGAATTCAAAATAGAATCATGCACATACAGTAAGTTGTCTCTTCGTAAGACTGCCAACAAGGATAGAAGATAAATTTTAGTAATTTGTTTTAATAAATGGTGCTCATTTGCATAAATCTTATAGTTAGGATAAAACACAAGTCCCACATTACACCTTAACCAAAAATTATTTGAAAAGCTAATTTCTCTGTGTCTGGATTCATTTGTAATTTGAGGGGATTTTGTTTTTACTCCTTTGTAAGGATTTTGTTTTTGTTATGTTTATCTAAACATAAAAAATTTATATATAGTAAAATTTCAAAATATAGATTTTTTATGTTTAGATAAGCATAACAAAAACAAAATCCTTACAAAGGAGTAAAAACAAAATCCCCTCAAATTACAAATGAATCCATTTACTATAGGGAAATGTAGGCAAATACATATTTTGCATTTGACTAGGCAAATGTTTCTTAGCATGAAGAACAACACATGCCTGGGTATGTTAGCAAACACCACCACTTGGTAGGTGGAGTAAGGAAGACTGAAGGAAGGTTCAAGGTCATGAATTTCAGACCAGCTTGGGCTATATGAGACTCTTTCTTAAACCCAACCGGCCAGCCAGCAAATAAACAAAAGAATGAACAGAAAAAGAGTATTAGACTATATGAAAATACAAAAACCTCAATCCATCAAGAGATAGACAACACAGGTAGCAAGTAGACCAAGGATAGAAAGGAATGTGCGTAGACCCCAGAGAGTACCTATGTCCAGAATATACAAAGGACCTCCCACAAAGAAATCCCAAAGGAGAAGAGCAAAAGTAAAAAGGGCAGAGGTGGTGCCAGAGGATGCACACAAAGTCTGAAACGAATCTAAAATGTCCCTGCTATCATCAGGGAAGTGCAAATGAAAATTGTACCTGTTAGAATCACATTCTACACACCTGTTCCAAAGGGAATAATTAAAGACAGATGACATCAAACATTAGTGAGAATATAGCAAACCTGGGTTCCCATACGCTGCTGGAAGGAATACTAAATTTCTCTGGAAAACTCTGGCAAATGGATTAAAAAGTTAAATAGGAAGTATCTGTGGCCCATCAATCACTCTGTATTTACAGAGCTCCAACAAAGATCAAAAAGAATTTTCTTCAAGAATATTTATAAAAACTCCATTATAATAGTCCTAAACTGGAAGGTACCCATAAGATCCATCAGTGGGAGAATGGGTAAGCAAATAAGTGTGTTCAGTAAAAAGAAATACCTACTGATGGAACCAGTAATATTGATAAATTGCAAAACTGTGACTCAAAGAAAGCAGACACAAAATAACAAACAGCATACACAGCATGTATGAATTTGATTAAAATTATTGAAGGTTCAAGATATTGGGATAGAAATAAAGATGGTGTGGGGATTTATTGGTTGAAGGTAATAGAAACTAAATGAGATGATGAAGTATATATCTTTTCACAAAAATTCCTTTTATTTTTGAGATTATGATTACATCATTTCCCCCTTCTCTTTCCTCAATCTAAAAGCTCCCACATACTTCTCATTGCTTTTCTTCAAATTCATTGCCTCTATTTTTCATTAGAAATGTGTATCTTTTAAAAATGTTATTTGTGTGTGTGCCGGTGTGTGTTCACCCACATGTGCATGTGAGTCTCCTTTGAGGACAGAAGATGGAGTTGAATCACCTGGATCTGGAGACACAGACGGCTGTGAGACACCTGACTGGAGTTCTGGGAACTGAACTCAGGTCTTCTGCAAGAGCCCTACACATTCTTAACAGCCATCTGTCTCTTCAGGACACAGAGTCTGTATCTTGGTAGAGGCGTTTAATTTGTCAGTGCCTTTTGAACATGTAAGTGTAATTCTCTGTATGAAAAATTATTCAAACTAACAAAAGAGTAACCTATATAAAAGTTGAATAAAAACAACTCCCAAGGCCTTTAGTAACATATCTAGAGACATGGTACACGTGAGCAAAGTAACAAGCTGAAATTCAAAGGCAAAGGCAGGACAGAGAGGCAGTATCAAGTCAGTACCACCCAAGCTGGTGACAGCCTGTCTGTGAAGGGTTTCTTATGAGTGGAGACACAGACAGCCCCTGTGTTTGTGCAACCAGCTTTGATTATGGAGGCCAGAATGAGGATTGGGCAATGTGCTGCCATTCTTGTCCCTCAGCAGCAAAACACTTGCAGGGTATATATCCAGCAGGTAATCTTTAAAAAGTATTTGTAAGGAAAATATTGCAGAGAAACACTGACAGCTCTGGTCCCATTGAGGGCTAGATAAAGATCACCTCCATGGAGAATGCTGTTGATGAGTTTGCAAGGCTGTTCAGGGTATCTGGTGAAAACAGAGTGTGAGTCCAGACGGAAGAGGCAGATCCAAGCACAGGACCAGATTGAGAGTTTAAAAATTTGAACCAGGAAGGTGGTCCAAATCTTGCCTTTTTGGGAGAAAGGGTCTTGTCACCCCAAATGCCACTCAGAGAAGGAAGATAATGACAGAAAGCTCGGAAGAAAGAGCTACTAGGATAGAAGTACAATGGTGTTGCTTAGGAACAGTGTTGCATTAGAATAGCACTTACTGTTTTGTTTTCCATCCAAGTCTAGGTCCAAAGCAGGACCATGTTCACCCAGAATTGGTTATTGCTATGGCCGTGAATGAAAGGGCTGCAGAATGTCAAGAGACTGTGGGATGATGTGATTACAGAATTTACTAGGATGAAGGAGTGAATAAAATTGAAAGGCTATAGTGTTGGTCAGTTGTGGAGCTAAATGTGTGGTGCTGTATGTGTAGGATCGCTGATGCTTGGACTCTTAGCAAGATAAGCATATTGAACACATGCTTATGAAAAATCCCTCATGGCATATTACTTTAACTGAAGCTATATATCAGTAAAGGTAAAAAAATTATCTATTTTTAGAAGAAAAAGATGGCAGTGCCTTGGAAGCTACACAAGTAATTTCTACCTTCCCTTTATTTTAATAAATGGAAGAGGTAAGCTTGGGACTGTACTCAGAGTTCTGTGCACCTTTATTCCTTTGTCGCACATTCTCTACTTTCCTTAAGCTTACAGTCTACTCAGTGAGGACAAACAGCTCTACCATATTAACATCAGAAGACAAATGTGCTGTCAGCCATCTTCATTCGAGGTAAGTGCCAATAAAAGGCATCAGTTTGCACTGAGATTCAGGCCAATGCTTCAGCTATTTTTCAAAAAAAGGATATTTCTTTGGCCAGAGTGATCTCTAAACTAGGTCTGTCTTTTGCACATTACCTGCTTTGTCTTGGATGTCTCCAGTAGTCTGTCTCACTGGAGAGTCACACTTCATTGTCCTCTTTCCAAATATATATATATTCTGAATTACTGTTACCTGTTTAACTGAAGATTCAGTGAGTTAGATTTAGGTATTACATTTTATCATCATCATCTCTTCCTCCTCCTCCTCCTCCTCCTCCTCCTCCTCCTCCTCCTCCTCTTCTCTCCATCCATGGCACACTGCTCAGAAGTTCCTGCTGACACTATACCCAACATACATAATGAATTTTCCATTTCCAGAAAAAGCTTTCATATCATCATCCCTTATCAGTTTTTTTACTATGAAGTATTAAATATAAGTATAAATAAGTCACTAAGTCTTGCAGTAGATAACACATACACACTCCACTGTACAGTGGGGATAATGGTACTCAATTTGCAATACTGTGTGAATTAAAATTAATATAAGCATTCAATATATTATAGATACTGAACACAGATTTGAACCTGAAAATGAGATGCCAGACATTGAGAAACTTGAAGAGGATATCATCAAAAAATTCCAAAGGTGCTCACTTCATGCAAACTGACACCATAAAAATGTTTTCTATGTATAAAAATAGAAAATTTTCTGAAAATCTCAAGGAATGAATTTTATGTATTTATTATATTTTATTTTACTTTCTACTTCAGAAAAATCTAAAAGAGAATCAAATCTCTGAACATGGATACAATCAAAGTACTTTTATTCATACCAAGTGCTTTCTGAGTGTATCTTATCTTCTCAGACAGACATGGTAATTGCTCTTTACTCAAGTACAATGCACATAGTGAAAACCACATGAATCACGAATACTTGGCAGCCTTATGTATGGGAACAGCAGGCAGTTATCACCCAGGTCAAGAAAGAGGAAGACTGCTAGCCTAGAA